TCAAGTAGTTTTGTGTGATTAATTTTCGTGGGTATAAATTTTATTGGGCTAATTGCAATAAAAAAAATAATTTGTTTACTCATATAAAAATGTGGCTAATTTTCTTCAAATTTAATTAGTTTTGTGACAAAATTTCATGGGTGTCTTTTCTTAGTGGGCTAAAGTTTACTTGTTTTGTGAGACTAATTTTTGTCGATATAAGTTTTAGTAGGCTAAATATTTGTTTAATTTTGCCATGTCATATTTTAGCGATTGCAATATCACAATTTTTGGGAGAATGATTGTAGAAAAAAACACATAAGTTTTTTTGGAAAATCACTTCCCTAATAATTTATAAGGGATTCTTCACAAATTTAGACTGCATACGGGTAGAATCGGAGTTAGGATTATTCGATCAGAAATGTGCAAGTTCAACTTACGAGCTTTCATGACGTTTTGTGAAATTAGGACCGATACGTATATTGGAGATTTTATAAATTACGAACCCGACTTTTTAATTGGGCCTAATGTGGCCCACTAAATATTAAAAAAAAAATCAAGAATAAAAACATTTCTTCTTCCCAAAGCCAAAAAAAAAATCTCAGTACAAAAAGCTCTCTTGGAAAGACGAAGGCAAGAAATCGAGAGAAACAATCATGGGTCAAGGACCATCGGGAGGTTTAAATCGGCAAGGAGATCGGAAACCTGATGGTGGAGACAAGAAAGAGAAGAAGTTCGAGCCGGCTGCACCACCGGCTCGTGTCGGGAGAAAGCAGCGCAAACAGAAAGGTCCTGAGGCGGCGGCTCGACTCCCGACGGTGACTCCGTCTACTAAGTGCAAGCTCCGGTTACTGAAATTAGATCGGATCAAGGATTATTTGTTGATGGAGGAAGAGTTTGTGGCGAATCAGGAGAGGCTTAAACCTCAGGAGGAGAAAGCCGAGGAAGATAGATCTAAGGTTGATGATCTTCGTGGAACACCGATGAGTGTTGGAAATCTCGAAGAGTTGATTGATGAGAATCACGCAATCGTTTCTTCTTCAGTTGGGCCTGAGTATTACGTTGGGATTTTGTCGTTCGTTGATAAAGATCAGCTCGAGCCTGGATGCTCGATTTTGATGCACAATAAGGTATGTGAATTAGGGTTTCTTCAATAGGTTAAGATCCTGTTTTGTTGTGATTACGATATTGTGTTGTCTGCGGTTTAGGGTTTCTCTTTATAGTTCATTGGTACTAAGGAGGAGTTCCATTACTGAGATGTTGTTATTGGTTTTATTATGTTAGGTTCTCTCTGTTGTTGGGATTCTTCAAGATGAAGTGGATCCAATGGTGTCTGTGATGAAAGTTGAGAAGGCTCCTTTGGAGTCATATGCTGACATTGGAGGTTTAGAAGCTCAGATTCAGGAGATCAAGGAAGCAGTCGAGCTTCCTCTGACGCATCCCGAGTTGTATGAAGATATCGGTATAAAGCCGCCTAAAGGTGTGATTTTGTATGGTGAGCCAGGGACTGGGAAGACACTGCTTGCTAAGGTTTGCCTTTCTACCTATAATCTAATGAGTATRATTAGTATCTGCTAGAAGTGAAGCTTAGTTTACTATTTAATGTCCCATTTACATTCAATGGCTCGTTGTTCAGTCGAATCTATAGTAACAGAAGTCTTCCTGCTATCTAGTTAAAAAAAAACTTGTGAGGCTGTACTGCAAGCAGAAAGATTTAAAAAGGCCAGACCTTTGTTATTCTGGTCACCTGGATTTCAGAAAGTAGATCATAGCCAGAAGATTTTCACATGAACGTGAATCTTTTGAATCATCTGTAACTATTAATGTCTTCTTTTATCTTTTCTCTCTGTCACAAGCCTGAGTTGTTGCAGTTGGTGGCTTATTTTATGTTTCGTGCATGTTCTTAGTTTACTTTCGAAAATTGTGGTATTGAACTCTTGTATCTTGGTTTTCTTTCAGGCGGTGGCGAATTCTACATCAGCTACTTTCTTGAGAGTTGTTGGTAGTGAACTGATTCAGAAGTATTTGGGAGATGGTCCCAAGCTTGTGAGGGAGCTGTTCAGAGTTGCTGATGACCTTTCACCATCAATCGTTTTCATAGATGAGATCGATGCCGTTGGTACCAAAAGGTAGGTCAAATTAATACACAAGCCTTGATCCATAATTTGTTGATGATGGCATCTGATTACTTGTTGTGTGAAACAACAGGTATGATGCTAACTCAGGAGGTGAACGTGAGATCCAAAGAACTATGTTGGAACTTCTGAACCAGCTTGATGGATTCGATTCCAGAGGAGACGTCAAGGTCATCCTTGCAACAAACAGAATCGACAGTCTTGACCCGGCACTTCTTCGACCTGGACGGATTGATAGGAAAATTGAGTTCCCACTTCCAGATATCAAAACAAGAAGACGCATCTTCCAGGTAATTCAACTGTGCTGACAAAACATACCACCAATGGCTTGTTAGAAAGTTTCTTGTTCATCGAGTTTCTGTCTTTGTTCAAAACTAGATACACACATCGAAGATGACTCTTTCGGAAGATGTAAACCTGGAAGAGTTTGTGATGACAAAAGACGAGTTCTCAGGAGCTGATATAAAGGCTATATGCACTGAAGCTGGTCTACTTGCTCTCAGGGAGCGTCGTATGAAGGTAAAAAACTCTTAACCATTCGGTTCAAACCATACACGCATCACTTGTGCAATTATTAGCCGCAGACTCCGACATTTGGTGTGTGTTTTGCGTTTTGATTTGGTTCTTTCAGGTTACACATCCAGATTTCAAGAAAGCAAAAGAGAAGGTTATGTTCAAGAAGAAAGAAGGTGTCCCTGAAGGCCTTTACATGTAAA